CCCCTACCCCCCCCCCCCCACCCCCCCCCGCGTTTTGGGGCTGTAAGGGATATACATCCGAAAGACTTGAATATCAGTAGTCCCCAGTATTGGAGCTATACAGGCCGGCGCAAATTACCCTGAAAGATCCAAAGCACGGAGTGGGCGTGGCTCTCAGCATGAAAACCCTAAACCCTAAACCCCTAAACCAACGTAAACTTAATGCGTCCTGCATTGATGTAAAGGGGGAATGGCCCGTAGATCTCCGGTATATTCCTTCTGTGCTTACTAATGTAGACCCCTTTGTAGACCCCTGATTAATAAACCCCCTCCTCTTAACAAGGATTATAATAGGGATCCTAATATTAAGGCCCCCTTCAAAGCAGGGTGTTTACTAATCATGGGTCTACATTAGATGCACCTGGTTTCGTAAAACACTAAAAACACCCCTTGCTCCCTGCATCCCAGGACCTGAGCCCTCAATCCAATGATAGATGCTTGATTTCTTGAACTCACAACCTAGGGAGGCTCGAGGAGCTACGCATGCAGCCTCCCATCCTTATATGTACAGATATGTGTATATTTATGTATAGTTGTGTATTATGTATGTCTATATATATAGGGAGGGAGGCAGCCCAAGACTCGAGCCCCCGTGCCTTCGCAGGAGTTTCAGCGGAATGTGACCATGCTGTTGTTGCAGGAGATGCAGGAAACTCCGACAGTCGAGAGCTTGGTGCTTGACATGGGAATTGCTGAGCATTCTGCCAGTAGCTGTGAGGGAGCCTCGAATTTGTGCAGCTGTTGAGACGCTTTAGCCTGAAGGCTATACGTGTAAGGTTGAGGATGCTTGGTTTGAAGCGCTGGAATCTTACAGTCTGGGATTCAGGGCTCTTCACTTCCTCACTAGAATACATGCATCTTTGCCGAGCTGTAGGGAGATTCCCATCACTTTCTTCATGGGCCTAACCCCTAAACCCCAAGATCGAAACTGCTGTGGGTCTCAGGTTTGGCTGTGGAAGCGTGAGGGCTGCTCTCGCTGGGTAGGAGGTTCATGGCCAGCTAGAAGGCTATAAGTGGGGTTATCATTGTCATCACAGTACCCCAGCCAAGATTGTGAGTTGTTTGTACGAAGCTTATCTTACATGGAACCGCAGGTATAGGTACTTAAGAACATGCAACAGGGACCTGTGGGTGCCTTAGAACCGCCGAGATGGCAGGGAGTCCTTGAATAAGAGGCCTCAGGGTTTGGATGTAGGGTTCAGGAACTCAATGGGATCCGCCTTGTGCGGCAGCTTTAGGGGTCTGGTTGTTGCGTTAGGATCTTTTTTGAGGCCTTGGTAGCCAATCGTGCAATCCCATGAAAGCGAATGCGCCTCCCGTATCTACTTGCAGTATGCCTGCTTACATCACGCGGCTCCATGCGCTGGGTATTCTGGACCCGAAGCCCTAGCCCCTCAACCCTTAACCTTAAGCCCCAAAGCCATCAATCTGAGAATTCCACATCCTAAACCCTGAAAAGCCCAAAGCCACAAACCCCAAGCCCGCGAACCTCTTCATTCTTGGTGGAAGCCAAGCTGCGCTGTTGAAATACAGATTATTTGATTTACTGGGGCTTAGTAGGGAATAAGGGATTATACTATACAGGGGTTATATAGGAAAATATTCCCTCATTCCCCACTAACCACCAGTAAGCTGTATGAAATATCTCTACCGGTAGAAAACATACTTCATGAAATGCCATTTTTAGAGAGGCTCCACATCCGATAGCGATGCGGGGGCTGATCTGGAAATCGCTCAAAGTCATGATCAAACGTCTTCGATAGTAACCCAAGGAATCTTTTCGCAATCTCCCTGCCTCAGGGGCTAATGGTTTAGGGTTAACCCTAAACCCTAAGCCCCGAAGCCGAAAACCCTAAGCCCTCAACCCTAAAACCTTAAACCCTACATCCTAAACCCAAGACCCTGAACCCTAAAACCCTAAACCATTAGGGTCAGGAATTCGGGTTCAGAGGCGAGGCTAGAAGGCCTGGGATGTAGGGGGCTTCAGGGTTAAGCTACAATAGCGGATAATCAGGTGGGAGATCAAATGGAAGCTGGGGTTATATAGGGCCTATGTAGGGACTGAAGGACTTCAATAGTTGTCACGCGACGTAGAGGGTGGGAAGCAGGCATTTCTTCTTGCAGCGATCCTTCTCCAGTTGCAGTCCAAGCGGTCTGGAAATCCTTACCTGTCCCAAGAATTTCAGCGTAGAAGCCGCATTAGACTTGCTCAAAACTACCGCCCCACAGAGAGAATCCTTAACAGGGACCCCATGTAAAGTATAGTCCCCCTTAAGTAGATAGAATATAGGGTATATGGGGATCTTATTATCATAGCTCAAAGCCATTTTCTATCTACTTAAGGGGGACTATCATCCTTTTAAAATCACTGTACCTGCCTGATTTCCCTTGGTACGCGACATGCTAACCCCCGGGCCCTTCTTGGAGATAGGATGATGGCAAAATATGGCCACTGCCTTAAGCCCCAACCTCACCCTAACCCTGAGCTGGATCGTAAAGGCTAGTAGCATCAAACTCTGCTTCCCAACTTACTGGTTCTTGGTAGGGAATAAGGGAATATATTATATAGGGATTATATGAGCTATAGTCTAAACTCCTAGTGTCCCCCTTAGAAACCCCTACGGTAGTCCTCTATATAATCCCCTATATAATCCCCTATATGACCCCTCTTTAAGGAGTTTAGACTCTGGCTAATCTATTGGACCATATTCCCTTACTCCATACTTAGAATCAGTAAGCCAAAGTGAACGGCCTTTGGGCGGTGTGAGAGCTAGCCATGGTGGCTCGCATCCTTGTCACCGGCGGCACAGGATACGAAGCTTGGATGCCTCATTTTAGGGTCTGGGGCTTAGGGAATACAGCTTAGGACTCAGGGTGGGGGGTGTAGCTTTTCAGCTAATTAAGGGTCTTGTTCTAAGGACATCTTTTGTGACAGAGAGGGGTTACATTTACGTCCATTGCGCTTGGAGGCTCACAGGTAGTTATAGCCGCTGCGGTCACAGACGGAATAATTGTAATGATGTCCCCACCAAGATGCTATTCGCCACTTCCCCCAACATGCTACTAACCTATCAAGGTACGCATCCTCGTGGCAACGGGCGATTTTGCTGACTGGGCGTTGCCCCACTAGTCCCAGCTTCGCCCCTTGAGCCATGAGTCAAGGCTACGCCCCACTAATCAAAGGGTGTGAGGAGTTCCGATGCAACTTTTTTATCGTTCCCCCATCCGCTGGCCTGACGCGATGGCCAGTGGCAAACAAGGGGGGAGAGCTTATAACCAACTATCACAGTGTTTGATGTAATTGCAGTACACCCCCTATATTCAACCACTAACTCCAAACCCCAAACTCAAAACCCCAAATCCCCTAAACCTGAGCTCTAAGCCCGATCCCAACACTCTCCTGCCTTGAGATTTCGAATTGTGGAGACTTCGGATGAAATTGAAAAGAAAATTGAAGATGAAATGGAAATTACTATTACTATTCAGGGTTTGAAGCTTTAAAGTTAGGGGAGATGGAGAATCAAATAGACGAAAAATCAAACTTGGGTTATATACGGGTTCATTGGGATTTTCTTGCAAGAGGGTTGGAAGTTCATCGGAACATGCTCCTTTTCCTGGGCCGCCATTAAAACTACGGCCCATAGCCAGTTCGAGTACTCGAGAAGACTCCATAAATGTTGACAACCCTGAGCCCGACTCCCTAAACCTCATATCATATCTCCCTATTATCCCTTCACCTACAAGGTTCCTGAAAATATTTTTTAATTTCTGTTAGCTAGAATCCTAATATTTAGCTGAAATTATAATTTCTACTGGGGTTCCAAATCCCTTAGAGTCACAGGGATCCTAATTTTGACCACCTGTCACATGGTTTAGGTTTAGGGTTTGGCTCCTGGCACAGGGTCTCAGTCCCCGCGCTCCAATTTCAGGACCCCAAGCTTACTTCGGAAACAAATGGCGGTGGATACCAAAAATCTACTATAGTTCCAGAATTACCCCCAACCCTTTGTATATTATGTATTATAGTACCCCAAGGTATAGCCCCTTTGATGAAGGTTAGCAGCTTTTAGAGGATCTTTTTTCAGGTTTCATGTTGGCTTTGCTAGCCTAAACCTTAAATCCTATCCCCCTAAACCCTAAACTCCTAAACCATAAGCCCTAAACTCGAAAACCTTACAGGCTAGAACCCTAAAGGCCCTAAACTGACCAGGGAACTGCCTCAGCAAGGGTTTAGATACGGGTTATATAGGTTTATGTTGGGATTATGTAGGTGTATAGGGGGAATGGAAAACAAACACGGAAACTACTACCATCAAAGACGTTAAGTGTGTACCCTTAATGTGTGTAACCTTAGTTTTGGGTCCCAAACACCCTTATTAAGGGCCAGATTCCATGGTTTAGGGGCCCAAGACCCAAGGGTACAAACCCTAAGGGTATAAAGGACAACTCCCTGATACCATAGAGCTTAGGGTTTAAGGGCTTAGAGTCTAAGGCTTCCTAAGCCCTAAGCCCTCTCAAAACCTTAAGAGGCGCCCCTTGAAACCTCCATATCATCTCGTACATGCTGAAGATCCCGAAGGGGTCCCTCCTTTTTCAGAGACTCCCTAAAGCCAACCGAAACCCTACACGCATATATCCCCATTATAATATGGCACCTAATATTTAGGGTTCCCAAAATGGGACCATAATTTTACAACCACCCATATCTTCTTTCGAAAGATCCGAGGTAGCTCGATTCCTAATTCCTGCTCTAGTGCAAGAAGGTTGCGCGGCATCCATTATGTTTTTGGGGAAAGCACCCTAAACGGGCTTATCTAGGGTTTAGGGTTTAGGGCGCAGTGCCTCCATTCAGAACCCCAGTATAGCATAGTTAGGTACCATAAGATTTCTCTGACTGCGGTGGTGAGTTCTGATTTTTCGAGCTCCGCGAGTAGGCAAGGGTGAAGTTGCTCAGGCCATGGCATGCAAAGCAGAACCACTTTTATTGGAAATGGCAGCTAGCACTGGCATCAGCGCCGCCATACCTAAACCCACTATGAATCCTGTTTCCTATGAGCCGCTGTAGAACCTTAGTTTTCCATTGTCTTTTCCATTTGATGCTGCATTATCGGGATGAATAGATAAACGTAAACCCTAAGTCCTAAATACTAGAACTCTAAACCCTGAGTCCTAAATACTAAAATCTAAGCTCTATACCCTCAAGCCTACAGGGCATAGCGTGGACGCGCAAAGAAAGTTGAAACACGCTTGGAGGTCCAGGGCTTAGGATTTTGGGCTAAGGGATACTATATGTAGGGATACTATGTGGGTGTAATGAAAAAGAGCATGGACACTACTGTTTAGGGTTAGCCTCTAGAATGGAGAACCAAATAGGAAAGAACATGGAAAGGAAATGGCAACCAGGGTTCTATAGTGTTTTATCGGGATCAGTTACAGATTAGGGGTGAGTTCCGCCATAGAAGATAAAACGGCTAAACGCCATGATATGGGCCTAGCACTTCATCAATATCTTGTCCACAGACCAGACATTCCATAGACGAGGAAGTTGAGAAACAGAGCCCCTGATACAGCACACATCGTCTCTTGGTCACTTTTTTTTCCCCCGTTTCGTAGGACGGCAGCAACACGTAGTCTCCGGCTCATACCTAGACTTGCAGGCTA